AAAGTGACTTTTCTGCGTTTCCCATGTAATTCTGGCTTTTTCTTGTTTCACATGCAATTCTGTGGGACTTTGGTGTTTTTCCACCTAAGTGTGCCGAATGAGCTTCTCAGGCTGAGAAAACAAGCTTTTTCACACAAGCTGCCATTCTCTTCCAGAAGCACCTATGTGCCAGTTTCCACCTCAGGAAGCCTCACAGCGGCGACTTGTACATTATAGAGTGGTTTTGTGTGGCTCTGTCACTTAGTTTGGCTGTAATGCACAAAACTATTAAAAGTGACTTTTCTGCGTTTCCCATGTAATTCTGGCTTTTTCTTGTTTCACATGCAATTCTGTGGGACTTTGGTGTTTTTCCACCTAAGTGTGCCGAATGAGCTTCTCAGGCTGAGAAAACAAGCTTTTTCACACAAGCTGCCATTCTCTTCCAGAAGCACCTATGTGCCAGTTTCCACCTCAGGAAGCCTCACAGCGGCGACTTGTACATTATAGAGTGGTTTGGTGTGGCTCTGTCACTTAGTTTGGCTGTAATGCACAAAACTATTAAAAGTGACTTTTCTGCGTTTCCCATGTAATTCTGGCTTTTTCTTGTTTCACATGCAATTCTGTGGGACTTTGGTGTTTTTCCACCTAAGTGTGCCGAATGAGCTTCTCAGGCTGAGAAAACAAGCTTTTTCACACAAGCTGCCATTCTCTTCCAGAAGCACCTATGTGCCAGTTTCCACCTCAGGAAGCCTCACAGCGGCGACTTGTACATTATAGAGTGGTTTGGTGTGGCTCTGTCACTTAGTTTGGCTGTAATGCACAAAACTATTAAAAGTGACTTTTCTGCGTTTCCCATGTAATTCTGGCTTTTTCTTGTTTCACATGCAATTCTGTGGGACTTTGGTGTTTTTCCACCTAAGTGTGCCGAATGAGCTTCTCAGGCTGAGAAAACAAGCTTTTTCACACAAGCTGCCATTCTCTTCCAGAAGCACCTATGTGCCAGTTTCCACCTCAGGAAGCCTCACAGCGGCGACTTGTACATTATAGAGTGGTTTGGTGTGGCTCTGTCACTTAGTTTGGCTGTAATGCACAAAACTATTAAAAGTGACTTTTCTGCGTTTCCCATGTAATTCTGGCTTTTTCTTGTTTCACATGCAATTCTGTGGGACTTTGGTGTTTTTCCACCTAAGTGTGCCGAATGAGCTTCTCAGGCTGAGAAAACAAGCTTTTTCACACAAGCTGCCATTCTCTTCCAGAAGCACCTATGTGCCAGTTTCCACCTCAGGAAGCCTCACAGCGGCGACTTGTACATTATAGAGTGGTTTGGTGTGGCTCTGTCACTTAGTTTGGCTGTAATGCACAAAACTATTAAAAGTGACTTTTCTGCGTTTCCCATGTAATTCTGGCTTTTTCTTGTTTCACATGCAATTCTGTGGGACTTTGGTGTTTTTCCACCTAAGTGTGCCGAATGAGCTTCTCAGGCTGAGAAAACAAGCTTTTTCACACAAGCTGCCATTCTCTTCCAGAAGCACCTATGTGCCAGTTTCCACCTCAGGAAGCCTCACAGCGGCGACTTGTACATTATAGAGTGGTTTGGTGTGGCTCTGTCACTTAGTTTGGCTGTAATGCACAAAACTATTAAAAGTGACTTTTCTGCGTTTCCCATGTAATTCTGGCTTTTTCTTGTTTCACATGCAATTCTGTGGGACTTTGGTGTTTTTCCACCTAAGTGTGCCGAATGAGCTTCTCAGGCTGAGAAAACAAGCTTTTTCACACAAGCTGCCATTCTCTTCCAGAAGCACCTATGTGCCAGTTTCCACCTCAGGAAGCCTCACAGCGGCGACTTGTACATTATAGAGTGGTTTGGTGTGGCTCTGTCACTTAGTTTGGCTGTAATGCACAAAACTATTAAAAGTGACTTTTCTGCGTTTCCCATGTAATTCTGGCTTTTTCTTGTTTCACATGCAATTCTGTGGGACTTTGGTGTTTTTCCACCTAAGTGTGCCGAATGAGCTTCTCAGGCTGAGAAAACAAGCTTTTTCACACAAGCTGCCATTCTCTTCCAGAAGCACCTATGTGCCAGTTTCCACCTCAGGAAGCCTCACAGCGGCGACTTGTACATTATAGAGTGGTTTGGTGTGGCTCTGTCACTTAGTTTGGCTGTAATGCACAAAACTATTAAAAGTGACTTTTCTGCGTTTCCCATGTAATTCTGGCTTTTTCTTGTTTCACATGCAATTCTGTGGGACTTTGGTGTTTTTCCACCTAAGTGTGCTGAATGAGCTTCTCAGGCTGAGAAAACAAGCTTTTTCACACAAGCTGCCATTCTCTTCCAGAAGCACCTATGTGCCAGTTTCCACCTCAGGAAGCCTCACAGCGGCGACTTGTACATTATAGAGTGGTTTTGTGTGGCTCTGTCACTTAGTTTGGCTGTAATGCACAAAACTATTAAAAGTGACTTTTCTGCGTTTCCCATGTAATTCTGGCTTTTTCTTGTTTCACATGCAATTCTGTGGGACTTTGGTGTTTTTCCACCTAAGTGTGCCGAATGAGCTTCTCAGGCTGAGAAAACAAGCTTTTTCACACAAGCTGCCATTCTCTTCCAGAAGCACCTATGTGCCAGTTTCCACCTCAGGAAGCCTCACAGCGGCGACTTGTACATTATAGAGTGGTTTGGTGTGGCTCTGTCACTTAGTTTGGCTGTAATGCACAAAACTATTAAAAGTGACTTTTCTGCGTTTCCCATGTAATTCTGGCTTTTTCTTGTTTCACATGCAATTCTGTGGGACTTTGGTGTTTTTCCACCTAAGTGTGCCGAATGAGCTTCTCAGGCTGAGAAAACAAGCTTTTTCACACAAGCTGCCATTCTCTTCCAGAAGCACCTATGTGCCAGTTTCCACCTCAGGAAGCCTCACAGCGGCGACTTGTACATTATAGAGTGGTTTGGTGTGGCTCTGTCACTTAGTTTGGCTGTAATGCACAAAACTATTAAAAGTGACTTTTCTGCGTTTCCCATGTAATTCTGGCTTTTTCTTGTTTCACATGCAATTCTGTGGGACTTTGGTGTTTTTCCACCTAAGTGTGCTGAATGAGCTTCTCAGGCTGAGAAAACAAGCTTTTTCACACAAGCTGCCATTCTCTTCCAGAAGCACCTATGTGCCAGTTTCCACCTCAGGAAGCCTCACAGCGGCGACTTGTACATTATAGAGTGGTTTTGTGTGGCTCTGTCACTTAGTTTGGCTGTAATGCACAAAACTATTAAAAGTGACTTTTCTGCGTTTCCCATGTAATTCTGGCTTTTTCTTGTTTCACATGCAATTCTGTGGGACTTTGGTGTTTTTCCACCTAAGTGTGCCGAATGAGCTTCTCAGGCTGAGAAAAACAAGCTTTTTCACACAAGCTGCCATTCTCTTCCAGAAGCACCTATGTGCCAGTTTCCACCTCAGGAAGCCTCACAGCGGCGACTTGTACATTATAGAGTGGTTTGGTGTGGCTCTGTCACTTAGTTTGGCTGTAATGCACAAAACTATTAAAAGTGACTTTTCTGCGTTTCCCATGTAATTCTGGCTTTTTCTTGTTTCACATGCAATTCTGTGGGACTTTGGTGTTTTTCCACCTAAGTGTGCCGAATGAGCTTCTCAGGCTGAGAAAACAAGCTTTTTCACACAAGCTGCCATTCTCTTCCAGAAGCACCTATGTGCCAGTTTCCACCTCAGGAAGCCTCACAGCGGCGACTTGTACATTATAGAGTGGTTTGGTGTGGCTCTGTCACTTAGTTTGGCTGTAATGCACAAAACTATTAAAAGTGACTTTTCTGCGTTTCCCATGTAATTCTGGCTTTTTCTTGTTTCACATGCAATTCTGTGGGACTTTGGTGTTTTTCCACCTAAGTGTGCCGAATGAGCTTCTCAGGCTGAGAAAACAAGCTTTTTCACACAAGCTGCCATTCTCTTCCAGAAGCACCTATGTGCCAGTTTCCACCTCAGGAAGCCTCACAGCGGCGACTTGTACATTATAGAGTGGTTTTGTGTGGCTCTGTCACTTAGTTTGGCTGTAATGCACAAAACTATTAAAAGTGACTTTTCTGCGTTTCCCATGTAATTCTGGCTTTTTCTTGTTTCACATGCAATTCTGTGGGACTTTGGTGTTTTTCCACCTAAGTGTGCCGAATGAGCTTCTCAGGCTGAGAAAACAAGCTTTTTCACACAAGCTGCCATTCTCTTCCAGAAGCACCTATGTGCCAGTTTCCACCTCAGGAAGCCTCACAGCGGCGACTTGTACATTATAGAGTGGTTTGGTGTGGCTCT